AAATAAAATAATTTTTAAATAATTTCTTAATTATATTAAATATATATTTTATTTCGAATAATTCCTATTATAATATTTATATATTTTATTATTAATAAATTTTCTGACATATTATCTATCATATTTTCTGATATTTTATCTGACATATCTTTTGACATTCTATTTGGCATATCTTTTGACATTCTATCTAGCATATTTTCTGTAATATTTCTTCTAATATTTTATATGGTATATTTTCTCGTATATTTTCTAATATTTTTATAAATCTTCCAGAATTTTATCTGGTAAAGATTCTAGCACTTTATCTAACATACCTTCTGTAATTTTATTTATTATTCTATTTGGCATATCTTCTAGCATTCTGTTTGGTATATCTTCTAGCATTTTATTTAGTATATCTTCTGGTATTTTATCTAACATATTTTTTAATATTTTATTTAATATATTTTTGAGAAAATATTATAAATAAAATATCAGATTTCTGGCATATTTTCTGGCACTTTATCTGGTATATCTTTTTACATATCTTTTGATATTTTATTTGGTATATTTTGTAGCATTCGATTTGATTTTTAAGGTCCAGCGGTGCGCGCTGAGTTAGGAAGGTCCCAAATTAAGGTCCAGCGGTGCGTACTGAATTAGGAAGATCCCAGGAATTAAGGTCCAGTGGTGCGTACTGAGCTGGAAAAATCCCAAGTTGAGGTCCAGCAGTGCGCACTGAGCTGGGAAAATTCCAAGTTGATGTCCAGCGGTACGCACTAAATTAGGAAGGACCCAAATTAAGATCCAGCGATGTGTATTAAGCTGCCGCACTAAATTCGGAAGTTAGCGAAAAGTTTAGCGAAAAATTAGTAAAATAAAAATAAAGGTAGATGTTAATAATCATAGTCGAGGAATAAATTAAAAAAAAGGAGGAAAACGATATATTAAATAATAATTCTAATAAAATTTAATAACCTTTACCTAGCTAATAGTAGGAAATAATAAAAATATAATATAAAAATAAATATCCTATTTTCCCCCCTCAATATATAATATAAGCCTCCAACCCCCTCCCCCGTAATAGGAATAATTCCTAGGATTAGGTATATTATTTCCTTAAAATCCAATTATTATTTATTATACCTCTGCTTCGCCAACCACCCCTATAAATAGATTAGGTATAATATATATATAAATATATATATATACGATAATTATATTTAAATATACGGTTAGTCCGACCACCCATTTAAATATACAAAATCCAATTTATTTAAATATATTATAATTACCTTTAAATATATAAAATATGTGTAAAATGTTTGTTCCCAAAAATAATTAAAATTTATATTCTACTTCGGGCCCGCCTTCTAATAAATTTATTTTTCTCATATCCTTATTTTTTTTTTTAAATTCAAAATACCTCAACCATTCCCCTAAAATTATTCCTAGTTTAACTTAA